TGATTTGCCCTGCTCTGTGCGCGACAGGGGGTGGCGCCGCAACCTCCCCATCGACCCTTGAGTGTGACAGGGGGCGGTGCCCCACCTCCCAATCGGCCCTACCCTGAGTCTGACTAAGGGTGGCATCGCAACCTCCTAATCTGCCCTGCTCTGTGCATGACAGCGGAAGGCACCCCAACTCCGCAATTGGCCCTTCTCTGAGCCCGAGCAGGGGCTGCACCTAGGGATTAGGCCTGCCCTCTGCCACTAGGGAGCAGGCCTAAGCCAGCAGGTCATTATCTCCCGAGGGGTCCCAGACTGTGAGAGGGCACAGGCCGGGCTGAGGGACCCCCCTCCCCCCCAAGTGCACAAATTTTTGTGCACCGGGCCTCTAGTAGATAATAATCAATTATGTAATCATTCAACACATGTTTACTGAACCCATTGAGCACTAATTATTTTATGTTTAGGGATTAAGGCACAGAAAAAGAGAAAAGAAACCGCTGTCTTTAAGAAACTTACATTGAGGGGCGGGAGGGGACAACAGACAAAAAGTATGCAAATAAATAAGTTCAGATCCCACAATTCTACTTCCGAGTATTTATCTGAAGGAAATTAAATCACAATATTGAAAAGACATCTACACCTCAATGTTCACTACAGCATTATTTATATTATCCAAGACATAGAAATAAACTTAGTGGTAATCGACAGATGAATGGATAAAGAAATATGGTATACATACACAATGGAATATTGCTCAGCCACAAAAAGAAGAAAATCCTGCCATTTGTGACAATATGGATGGACCTTGAAGCCATTATGTTAAGTGAAGTAAGCCAGACAGAGAAAGACAATACTATATGCTCTCATTTATATGCAAAATCTTAAAAAATAAAACCAGACTCACAGATACAGAGAGCAGATTGGTGGTTGGCAATGGTGGTGGTGATGGAGGGAGCTAAATGGGTGAAGGTTGTGAAAAGGTTCTAACTTCCAGTTATAAGATAAATCCTAAGGATGCAATGTACAACATAATTTTTAACTATAGTTAACAATACTATATCATATGTTTGAAAGTTGCTAAGATAATATATCTTAAAAACTCTCATCACAAGAAAAACCAAAAAACATACTATGTGTGGTGATGGCTATTAACTAAACTTATTGTGGTGATCATTTCACAATATATGCATATATCAAATTATGTTGTACACCTTGGACTAGTGCAGTGTTATATATCAAGTTTATCTCAATAAAAAATTTTAAAGAGTAAATAAGTTTCTAATATAATGTAAGGTAGTGAAGAGTGCTACCAAGAAAAATATAGCAAGTCAAGAGAGGGGAGTGACATGGCCTGGGTGGAGAGAGGAACTTTTAACAGGACCATGGGAAGGGCTCTCTTTGCAAATGCCTGTGGAAGGAGGGAAATGGGGCGCTTTCCAGGCATCGGCTACAGCAAGAAGAGGTGTATTTTGTGCCATGTTCCACTGAAGGTACTGTGCTCCTGCGTTCAGTAAGAAGTTGTTGTTATTAGCTATAAAAGTCAGGTAGAAAGATAAATCCCTAACCTACCCAGAAAATAAATGGTAGAGCTGAGATTCAATACTGAACTTGTTTCATTAATTTTTACACCTCTCCACATCATACTTCTCATGATTTACTAAAGATACTGTCAGCAGCCACAGGAACGGCACCAGGTGTGAAACTGATGGGATTAGACCAGACTTGGTTCAGCAATTTCAGTACTTGAGTTCTGGCTAGGAAAGAATTCACAGCTAAGACTCAAACTATAAGTCACAGAGGTGGAAGAAATGAGTGGTAGAAGAAATGGCTCAGGAAACAAGTTACAGAGGCAAAAGAAGGGCCCTTGGAGTTTGGAGTTCAGGAGTGAGGAAGGTAAAGGTGACTCCCTGTGGGGAAGGAGAGAGAAAGGCAGAAGGGGCAGGCACTGTTGGGCTTCCAGGAATGAGAGCGCCTGGGTCCTCTGTCCTAAGGGCGGAGATTTTAGGGCAGGTCCCAGGGGAAGGATTCAATAAAATATTCAGCAGTTTCCCAGGCGTGTCCTTTCAGGGCAAGGGGTCCTTATTCAATGCAGCTGGTCCTAAGGTCAGCCTCTTTGCTTGTCTGGTTTTGCTTCTTTTCTGGGTCTGGGGCTGAAATACAACTGAGGCCTAGATGTTATGTCTAGGGAGGAAAGGTCAGGGCTCTAAACTGCCTCCAGTGTTATGCTAGGGAAGGAAAGGT